CGTAGCCGAATGGCAGACAGGAGCTGTTGCTGTAGTAATCAGGAGTTACTGCGGTTGCTATGGGCAACATGGTTAAGCCTGATCGGGACCTGCAGTGGGGACTAGCCTGCATGGACCATAATAGATACCATGTCTGAAGCAGGGGTTGGGCAAAGGTATCCACACAGACCCCCTGGTTAATAAGGATCTGAACTGCATCAGCACATTTCCACAAGGAATCCTGAGAACATGCAGAGTAATACTCAAAAAACACAGCTGGATCATTAGCTAATAGCAACACCAGGGACACAACCTGTGACAAGGTGAATGGAGGGGTGAAGTTGTCACCCCCATCACAAATCCCGGTCAAGGGCTGAACACCCCCAAAAGGCCCAGCAGTTAGATCCACCCTAACTGTAGTGACAGGGGGAAAAATAAAGCTCAAAAAAGCCAGCAGGTCCCTGTGTGGTCGATTTGGTCGTATGTGGCCTCAGTATTCTATCAGGGAACCGTGCACGGGTGTCCTCACACCGCATGCAGGTACCCACAGGCTGGACCAAACGCATGACCACACCAGACACTGCAAATGAGCTTATATACACAGTTTAATATGTACACCAAAATAATATAAACAGAAACAAGTAAGAGTAGCTAACTACATCTAAACCCAACTACATGTACAAACTAACAGGCAAGTAAACCCGGGGAGCAAAGCAACACCAGGGGAGCTAAGGGACAAAAGTCAGGGTGCTAGGGGGCACCAGGACTCAGGACTGCAAACAGGTAACTGGACTCCCAGGTAACAGGACTCGGGACTCAGGATTCACAGCAAATGGCGACAGGATACTGAGGCAATATCCAGACTGCAGGTAGTATTCAATATCCAGACTGCAGCCTCCCAGGTAGTGATTAATCACCGACAGCTGGAAGACAGCCACAGGTGAGGACTGAACATGCGGGCTCCAGCACCACCCAGTGGTGGTCTGGTACCTGACATCTCCTGTCTGCCTGAAAACACCTGTAGGTGAGCGCAGGACCTGGTTCCTGCGCCACCTGGAGGTGCTATGGTCCCTGACACAAGGGCAAGATGTCACAAAAGTGACACCTCTGGCTCCACCTTTTCCTGTAAAGTAGGGTTGCACAGATACCAAGTACAGTACTCGGTACAAGTACGAGTACGTGTACCGATACTTTTGAGCTCCAAGACTAGACTAGAGAAAAATTAAAAAGATTGGAGTCAGCTGTCATTTGTAAGGAGCACACGGAGCTCCTGGGATTAGTACATCTCTGTTTTAATGTACGATTTTGTTTTTATAAACAAAAATAAAGGGTTGCACCGATACCAGTTTTGCGAGTACGAGTACTGGTACTTGCCAAGTACTTACCAGTACGAGTAGTGATAAAAAAAATTTTTATTGTCATGTGACAGTTTTTCTAAAACAATATCGACTAATGATTTAGGACAGTGGTGAAGCGCCAGAGCCGGGTCCCAGCTGCAACCGCTGCCACCCTGGTAGCTCTCATGAAAATGCCAAGTATCTGCACTGGTACTCGAAAAGTATCGGTGCATCCCTACTGTAAAGGCTCATTTCACTAGATCTGTCAGTGTCTTTTTGGCTTTTAGGCATCAGGCATCTGCAAGCAAATTTGTAAGGCTTCCACCTGGTGTTCAGGCTTTTGCTGATGTGAGTTTTGGCCATTACAATCTGCCATCTGAGTTAGAGTTTCCCCTTGTTTTTCCTGTTATTTGAGCCATTTGGCAGTTGTTTTGCTGTGTTGCCCATACCTCAGTACATTAATTGTGGAGTTCCCAGTCGTCTATGAATCCACTTGTTTCCTGTATTGTACGATCAAGAAAATAGGATTTTTGACTTACCAAGTAGGAGGGGTTATATGAGGGGTCCTCACCCTCTAGTCTAGTCACCTAATGATAGCTGCATATTACCAAGTTGTCTATGAATCGGCCCGTGTCCTG